AACGGACAAAATCATCATTACATTGATTAAAAACACTTAACAGCCATTCACAATCAACAAAAACCATGATCAATTTGAAATTGCAACTTGACCAATCCTAAAATCACTTCCATTTCCTTTGACTCGTACTGATCCTCAAGATCTAATTAATCCAATTAATCCATATTATAATTCCAACACATTTAGAACTCCTAAAAGTTCAAAATAATAATCTAGAATTGATTTTGGATAGGTTATAATCTGCTTTGTGGATAGATATATCAAATGTGATCGATTTGTAAATTGTGTGGGATGGAATCGGTTTAATTTCTGATACATAGTAGGTATCCTTTGTTTTGATTTCTTTTCAACCATCTTGACAAATGGTTTGAAACAATTTGAAAATTCAAGGTGATCTTTGATGGGTTGGATTTATGGTTTTTTTTTGGTAAAGGCCATCATATCTCTTCTCCAGATGCTAAGATTAATTCACTTAAGACAAAAAAATCAAATTCAAAATTAGTATCTTGATTGGGGTGAAAAACAGAAGTTGAGAAAAGGTTTTGGTACCTTGAAAGGATGTGAATTATGATTTAGATTCAATTGATTAATTCTTGAATTGATTCTAATATATCCAAGTTTGATATGTTTGTGAATTTGATCGACTTGGTAACTCTATATCATTTCAGATTGTTGGATTTCGATTTTGATTTTCGATTATTTCAAGTGGTTCTGCTAAACGTATCCGATATTGTGCTCTTAATTCCGTTAATATTGATCGATTCAAAAGTTATTTGCTTTGAAGTGATCTTGGACTTGTTTAGTTGATTGTGATGCACATTTGTAAGTTGATTCAGGAATGGTTTTAGGATTTGGTTGATTTCAAGTTGAATGAAGTTCATTGGAAGCTTGAGTTTGAAAGTTGGTTTGTTATGTTGTAAGTTTTAGTGGCGGTATAACATTGACAAGAGTAGGATTAAGTCAGAACCCGATTGAGTCATGATACTGCTCCACTCAGAAAGACATTGAGGAAAGATTGATCGATCTTGACCAGAACGAATCGGCATCTGGCTAGTATCCCATCGTTGAGAGCGACATAAGAAATTGGCTCAAGGAGTCCCTCATATAGTAGCAAAACTTTTAGTCGTGATGAAGAAGGTTGATTGACTGGTTTGATGGTAAAATCAGAGTGATGCCAAGTCCAATGAAATGGGAATCGTTATAGGGATGAACCATCAAATTGCCAAATTAGAACTCTGCAGCTCAAGAG